TGTCGACTTTCCTGTAGGAATAGGAAAGTCAGAAAGAGAAGAATTATTAGCGATACTAAATTATCATTGTTCCTGTCATAGCAAAACGTAACGGGTAGTGCCGGAATCATTAGCATGCACGCTTCTGTGTGTGAGTGCGTGTGTGAAAAGTAGCCGGCTTCGGCTGGATAAACCCTCAACGAAACGTTAGCCTATTTCAAACGCAGCGCTATCCTTATACAACAAAGCATATTAGTGTTTGTCGCAAACCGTGTTCAACTCTCCTCGATAGGCGTCGGGGGAACGCATGACAGTACCGCAGCTGTTCACGAGTGCTACCGTTCCCCCTTGCCACTCCAGCGTATCGCTCGCGTACGTGCAACTAATGAGAGGGGGGACGATAGTCGCCCCGCCCGCATTGGCGCAAACCTCCGGACTATTCAGGGTTCGCCTTCGTCCTCGAAACAAAACCGCCAAAGACGCGATTCATCCAAGAAGGTAGGCAACTCACGAAGACATGTACACGGCATAAAAGTAAGTCCCTTCGCGCCACCGCCACAGCCTCCCACGCGCTCCTCGCCGTACGAGCAGAGCCCTCACGTCGCCCAAACGCGGCGTTCTTTGTCTCATTTGGTCGGCACTATTGGTTGAGCGGGCGGGCGAGGTCGGAGCGCAGCGGAGCCGCAGCCGAGCCGAGCCGAGCCGCCCCGCGCCGGGCGTGCGTGCTGTTCCGACGTCACCTGCTGAGCGTTGCGGGGCGGGCGAGGGGCGGGGAGGGGCGGGGAGGGGCGGGGCGCGCGAGGCGGCCGCGTACGCGGTGCGTCACGCCGCTCCCGCTCTTCCGCCCTCGGCCGGCCACCTGGCACAGCCACACGTCCTTCCCGCAGACCATGACAAAACCGAACGACGTACCACGAACGACCGCGCTCCGCTGGGCGGCGGCTGGGGCGCGGCGCTGCGCGCGCCGCGAGCGCGAGGTTCCAGCCCGGGCACCGCCACCGCGCGCTGCCTCTCCACGGCTCGCCCAGCGCCCCCCCCCCCCACTTGCCGAGGCGAGCCATTTCGGAACTCCCGATTCGGATCGTGCGAAGGCGCACGACAAGGGCAATACAATTTTTTACTACGCATCTTCTAATCAACGTTACAGAACACGAAGACGCGACATATTTTAGGAGGACGTGCTAAGCCATTTCGGGGGAGGGGTGGGGAATAGAATTTAATTTTCCCTCAATTCAGCATTTTATTCGATCACTGTGATGTGATGAAAAAGAAAGTTTTCGTCTTTCGAGCCCGTGGCAGGTTTAAGGGACATTTCAATTTCATGCTACAATGGGACACAATCCTTTTCACATATAATATCCACCAAGATACAAACATGATCAGTGAATCGACTAAATACTTTAGTAAAGCAAAAGTGACCCACAGTGTTCAGCTGGCATCCCAGAGATAATGCACCAATCGCAACCGAGTACAGCGTATGTCAAGATACAATCGTGTATGATCAAGATTACGATACTTTCTTCTCCCTCTATATCTTACGAGAAATGTATGTAGAAAGTTTGCATAGTTATAAATCTGTGTTTAGTTGATGCAGTGATAAAAAATCATTGATTTTGGCTAACCTACCAACGAACCTAAACATAATACAGAATGCGCCTCCGAGAATATACTATATACTAGTAAAATGTGGCGTCGCCGACGCTGTGAACTGTTTCGAAAACAGTTTCATGTGTTGAAAATTTCTTTCACACTTCATTTAATGTTCAGCTTTGTTCAAATACAGTAGAATCCCGGTAAGCCGAACTAATTGGGGTTGTGATCTGTTCGGATTACCCCCCCCCCCAAAAAAAAAATGCACCCTACATATACAAATACATCTACAGGAGTACCTGACAATGCAACGCGGCGCGGATAGGAGAAAATGGCAACGTAGCGTAGCGACCGCATCAGCTCATCGCATCATCAAGCAGATTTAGTTCCTTACGACAAAAGAGGATTACCGATTTTGCAAGTTCCTCTAATTAAAAATTACTACTATATAAACATGCGATATACTACGTAGTTACCAGTGCAATAAACGTTTCATTCCGACAACTTGTTTTTTAATAATTATTTGCTCAGTTCTACAGTAATTATAAACTCCTCTCTTTACAATACAAATAGGAATTTTATTTATTTTGTTTATTTAGTTTAGTTATTAGTTACTAGTAGCTGATAATGTTATACTCCCGTTCAAAAGTTCCGAACACCCACTGGCCTTGTATGTTTCCTTAACACGTGATATGAACAAGTCTTATTGCAATTTCAAAATTATAATCGCCGTAATAAATACTTGCAGATTTTGATGAAGCTAATTGTTAAAGATTGGCAAAGCTTCATTTTGAAGCTCTTTGACAAATATGCACGTAGCACACATGCATTAGTATAGATCCTAATGCAAAAATGCAGATTATTCCCATTAGTTCCGAAAATTGTCGCAACATCTTTTACACCTACATTCTTCTCAGGATTTGCTTAACATTTCCAAAATCTTCTCCCCTAATTTTCGAAGAGGTTAAAACATTATAAACTGGGACTAATTTGTGTTTTTACTACTGCAATTGCTCTATTAATCGTTTTGTATGCGAATCTGGCGTTGCATGAGAATATAACATTAAAATGAGACTTGTTTTGTATTTTTATGTAAATAAGGTGATAATTGAGTTTAAAAAGAATAAGTTGTGGGTCACATTCGTTTGAAAATCAGTATTTGCACACTTGTGTAAAAACATGAAGGCGAACACTAGAAGGTTCATTCATTCTCTAGCATTACTCACACTTCATAAGTTGCGAAGTAATACTGTTTGCTGTTTTCGCTAATTTATTTTTAAAAATACGGTAATTGGATTCAAAATTGAAATGAAATCTGCGGCGCGATTCACTTGGGTTATTATTATTATTATTATTATTATTATTATTATTATTATTATTATTACAACAATTCTTCACTTAGAGACCTCAACATCAGTATTGCCAACGTCGTAAAAGAAAATAAACGTATATTGAGCGGAAAGAAATGCCTTTGGAAGACTGGAGTCTAATCAACGCCACCTATACATAGATATATTTAGGAGGGTTGGCATTATCATTAAGATCGCAGAGCCAAAAACACACACACACACAACACACACACACAAAAAAAACAAACAACAACAAACAACACATTTTTGGAAATTCTTTTGAATCTTCTGCCCGGATCCGAAAACAAATTATCAGTTCTCCATCAGGAGACGAGAGAAGCGTACGAATGACACCTTATACGTCTGCGATTGTGCGCGGGAAGTGGTCTAGCAGTGACTGACGGTACCGCATACATCCGAACATACGCACACTCTTGAGTTTTACTAAAAATACTGTGTACGGATGTCAGGGTATCCTTGTTCATGAACAATCATAATTTAAGAGAAACACGCTGATTAGTAAAACTATCTAAATTTGTAGGTTTAGTTTATATTAAGTGTTTAAAAATAATCTCTAATTTGGAAATTACAGGATAGAAATTTGAAACCCTGATAAGGAAACTGAAGTTACCCATATATTTTTGTTTGTTATTTACACACGAGACATCTTCATTCGCGCAAAAGCATTGTACTTGGCGCAACGACATAAAAAACAGAACATCAAAATATGAAAAGTGGAAACATGAAGATATTTACAGTAAAAGTGAAAGTGAATACACATGACCTTAGTTTGCGAGGAGAAAAATCATTACGAATACATTATATAGCTTGAGCTGCGATTGTCAACATACGTATTGAGTATCTGTACTATTTGTTGATATCGACATAATTTAGGATGGAGAAAACTTAGATTGCTACTTTATGCTAACTTCCTCAGTCCCTAGTAAATGAGTTGTAAGATTTTGATAAGAGATATGTTACAGAGACTCAAGCGCTGGAAATGAAGTAAACAACTAAATTATACAGCATTGTAAACTAAATTATAGTTAAAATAAGCAATACAAATTAAGAAAAAAAGTTTTAAAATTCTTTATAGTTCGTGTTGTGGGTTCTGAAGTTCGAATATAGCCTAATTTAAGACAGCGTGTTTTGTGTTCGTTAAGCAGCGATTATGCTACAGATTTATTATTGACAATGCCACTACTAATCTAAATTTAAGAGACCACAATTCCACAGAGACCACACTGAAAGCAATTTAAGAGACTACGTACCATTAAACGCTTCATTTGGAATGACAATAAATAAATCGCAAGGGTAAACTTCAAAGGTAGTAGGGAATAATCTCCACTCGTAGTGCTTAGCTCAACAACTGCATGTAGCCTGCTCGAGTTTCTCCAGTAGTGATTATTTATTAGTATTCCAGGACGAAAAGCTGTTAATACAATTTTTTTAAATGTTAAGCAAAGTGGATAATTTAATGCTTTATTCATTTACATTTATTTTGTGTTATTATTAGTGTTTGATATTATTTATTTTTATATAACACAAACACTGTACATAAATAATTTTTCAAAAAACTAAAAGTACACAATTGAGAGTCGGACATCAATCATCAATTTATTACTAACATAAAAACACTAAAAACCCAAAAATGTATAGGTAATCTTAATAGTACTTTAAAGTTCAGTTGTCAAATAAATAGTAGGAACTGAAAATTCTAATTATCACATCTACACATGTATCAACATTAGTCATAAATTGTATCCATTGCCATTATGCGAGAGAAAGTGCAAATGAAGGACAATATCAGATGGTCGTATACCAGATTTTGAACAAAAAAATATATATAAACTCCTATTCGGCCTGCCGCCCTAAAATGTGAGACCCTGTAAATGTAATAAATTTTGGCTTATGGCAGAATAATACAGTTATTTCTGAAATATATTGTTTATAGTTTATTTTTTAGTCACCTTGCCTTTTAACTAATTTTTAACATGATATGGCACATGAATATTTGTTCTCGGGCCAACCAAAGATATCCACAAAATACATGAATTAACATTGTCGAGTACAATTAGCAGAATGAAGAACCACAACTCAAACAATGCAGATATAAAAAGCGGCGGCAGTGATGATGGTGTGGTTACTGAACGCAGAAACCTTCACGGTCCAGTTCAAATGCAAGATCGGAGAATCCATTTTGCGGGTTGAGAATACTCACAGTGGCATTGGTTGTGTCAATGAAGTTCTCTCCAAGTGAAGTAATAAATCGCTGGCCAATACATTATATCTAATTGAGTTAAAAATGTACGCAATTTTCGCGAACATTCAGCTAATAATTAATAAAAATAATACTCCCATAATTCACTTTCTATTGCACTTGGCAAACTTAAAAAGTCATTTTTCCAAGTTCTGAGCAAATCAAGTTTATGGAAACATATCTACATTGTCGCACGATTGTCAACCATACTGTTTGGAGCGGAGTAAAAAAAAACTGTTCTATCGTAATTGAAACATTAAGTGAGCGTGTATATGATTCTCGGTGGTGAATCCAGGGAGGGAAGACGCTTAGAGGGGATATCCCAAGATACAGAAGACTACATTTTGCTGAACTTTCACTTAATCTATTCCAAACACTAACTCACTTTGATGACATCACATTCCAAAGAAGCATCTGCATTTTGAGCACACATTTTTACGTTCTCGTTTACGTAGTGCATAGCAGTTGCGAAAATCAATGTCCTAATTTAACACACGTTTTGGAGTTCCTGATATCGAAAAGGAGTTGTTTCTCTTATTTTTAGAAACGTCTGACTTAAGTCTAAACCATACATAGATGTTTCTCAAAATGAAGATTCCCCGGCGATAAGAATCGAGCCGAGGTCCTGCAAAATAGAAACTTGTTTTCAATTTTGATGGGCATTCGCAGTTCCGGGACACATTTTCTCAAAAATGGCTCTACATTTTTTATTTAACATTTCTGCTAGAATATAGCAAGGAACCCTTGCAAAAATGCCGTAGGTCCTATTTTCATAAAAACTGATTTTACATACCCACGTTTTCTTTCGGGCTAGTCTTCCGCTATATCTCGCATTTCTTAAATCACTCCGCACGGTTAAGGGATTCTTCACAGTTTCCATCCGCATTTCAGTGACAATTTTTGGAGCATTCAAACCTGGATTCTTTTACACTTTTTTTTGAGGGTCGAATGTCATTTTCTTTCCATCCGTTTCTTTTTTGGCCTTTTTGAGGCTTGAACTCCAGTATAACATCGTTTTGTATTGTACTAAAACTCCCAACTCATTTCGCAAAATCCCCACTATTCTCCAATTTAATTATTGACTTCTGACGTTCGGTCAGTGGAAACGCAGTTATCCAACCGGGATCTTCAATACGAAAAATTGAGTCTAACGAAGCTACCAATTGAATAATCGCGCCCATGTGATCAAAAGTCAGGAGTTACGGTGGTTTAACGCCCTGAAAAATCTAGGTGTGCATACAGATACTCTAAACTGAAATGTTCAAACTAGTAAAATTTGTCAGAATGTACTCGAGGCCTTCCATATTTAAAACGCATGCGTACTTTTCTACCTACAAAAACTCGTCAGATCCTCGTACATTACCTTCTTATTACCTTGGTTAATGCGCTTTTTACTGATTGACAAATTTAAAACAACGTAAGATATAATGCAAGAATGAAATAAAAAACCAACGCATTATATCATTCAAATCATGAATTACGTATCAGTTACTGTAATTTTCGAATATGTTCCTACATTTGTTTCATCTAAGAGAAATTTGGAAGAATAAATATGTGCTCTATAAATATGACAGTGGTAAAAGCCGGTATCAACGGCGGCGACATACTTTAAAATATTTCCAACAAATTTTTTGCCTGTTATATCGATTAGGAAATACAAACGCGAGCTATTATTGTCTGCGCGAGACATTTTGAGACCAGACACAGGTCTCTATTCCAATAAGCAAATTTCGAGTACATTATCAGAAAACCAGCGCAATAAACGTTGATGTGCTAAGAGACGAGTGACAGAACAACAGTATGCACGTTAAGTTGGCACCCCCACCAGTGAAAACCACTAAAACCATTACTATTCGTGTGCACCCATTTGTTCTACAATAATATATTTTTGTGTAACAATTCCACATTGGCACCGCCACCTTTGTAAGAAAATTTGAAATCATTCTAAATCATTTGTACCGAACTGTTGCACCAGAATTTTCGTTTGTACCAAAGAAATTAATTAAGAATCAGCCATTATAACTTCACGCTGGCACTGCCACCAACGTAAAAAAATGGAACCATCCTAAATCGTCTGTACCTGATTGTCCCCCCAGAATTTTCGTTAGTACCAAAAAAACAATTAAGATAAAGCCATTTTAAAGTGGGGTGCGGCCCTCAGCTCCGTCACCACCCCCGCCAACCCATTGAAACCATTGTAAATCGTCTGTACCGGAATTCCATCAGTTCGCTTGTACAAAAAAATTAATATCGTTTATTTAAAAAATAAATAAATAAAAAAATTAACATTTGAAAGTAATTATTATGTAAAAACCATTTTTTAAGAAATGAGAACCGGATACCTAATATCCTCCCACCCCCACTGTCCTATTTATAGGACAGCCAACATTTCTAATTAAAGTAAATATGTTCAAAAGTTCATGAATTTTATCAAACAAGCCTATTTTTATGGCATTGCAATGAAAATAACCATTTTAGCACATTACAAAAAATTGGTAAAAATGGGTTAATGACCCGTACCACCTCATTTGCTAAAACGTAGGACAAGATGGATGCCGTGCTTTCAGCGCGGTGACGAATCTCATACTTATCTTACATATCGTACAAAATTTTACCCCACTTTTCAAATAAATACTTTCATCTCATCTTCTAACCTTCCTCATATTATTCATTTTCACCCTCCTTTCTCGGTTTACAAAACTTCTCGCTCATTTTTACTCCTTTCACACTCCTTTTCAATTTGATTCTAAGTTACTTAATTCTCCCTTTCCTCTGATTTTACTACTTTAAATAAAGTTTTCGACACAAAAACTTATTGACGAGCCCAGGTAAGGATAAAAGTGGATAAATCCAGCTGGTAAATAAAAAAAATCCTCTAACACGTGGTGTAGCCAGAATCCGTTTTGTGAGTCCTTCAAACCGAAAAATTGATAGACGGCAAAATGTATCCGTCCGTCTGTGCACAAAGCTAGCGCAAAAAACCGTTCAGCCGATTTTCTCCAAAATTGATATTCCCTAATCGTTCTAGCTGATGTCGCGGCCCCAGGAATTTGAAACCGATATTTTAGGGGGTTCTTTACAAGAAACCCCTGAGATATTTCTGGAGCAAAATTTTCAAAAAAGGCTCCATTTTTAAAAAAATATTTGGTTGTTGAATAGTGCAAAGAATGTTTAAGGTTAAGGAAAAGTACAGACCAATTCTTCAAAAAATTAAAAAAAAACACTAAAACTTCAAAATTGGTGATAGAGCTTGTCTCACGCAAAGTCTATTGTATGAAATTAGCTCTTTAAAAAAAGGTCATGTATTTTTTTCGGAAAACTAACAGTTTTTGCGTTATTTGCGATTGAAATGTACGAATTCCCCTCCCCCCGTCAAAAACTGCTCATTTTTTTCACTTATGTAATAAGAGTCGGTAAAAACTTTGGTGCTAGTCCCATATTTAAGTATCCCTCAGCTTTTCGAAAATTAAAAAAAAATTAAAATAAAAACTTTAAGATAGATATTTTTGCCTCAGACAAACTCTGTCGTACAAAATTAGCTCTAAGGTCGTGTACAATTTTTTGAAAAAACGAGTAGTTTTTGCGTAATTTCTGCTTGAAATTAATGATATATATTGTTTTACACCAACTACGGTCTTGAGAAAAACTAAATGAATATGAGAGAAAATAATTTAATTTTAATTATAACTTACTTTTGAATACGCCAATATTAATTATATTTTACACTCCCGCTTTTTTACTTTTTTAATCAATTTGTATTCTCAATATAAGAGAATGTGCATATAATATTAAAATTCTTATGAATGCCACACTGCATAGCAATGCGTTCGCGCTACATGAGAGCTCTTTTCAGGACAGATCTCACACTTCCTTCGTTCAATGTCACAAGTACCTCTCCTACAAAATTGTACTAGCTGTGTGTCATATCTACGAGACATGTCATGGCATTCTCTGACCCGCGTCTGCGCAGTGGCGATCGCACACACACACAGCCAAATGCTGCTTCCGTCCATAAAGCCACTGTGGTTCCTTCTTTCCCGTCCAGCCCCACGGCAGTCTACGAAACGCTCTATTCGATTGCAATTCCCGAGTGTGCGCCGGCTGGCTTTCACGCAGGGCACGGGCGACGGACTGTCAATCGCTGCTTCCGAACGGCGCGTGGTTTGAAATTCCACGTTTCGGAAATGCTCTGACACGACTTGTATTCCCTTCTTGTTTAGAGACGTTTAAAAGAAAATGCACGGAATTAATTTGGGTGGGCACATGCGAACGTGCGAGTAGGCAAGAGCCACCACTGCCTAATGGTGAGACAGGGTGAGCCACGTTTTGAAGTTTTGGGGATGCTTTATATTGTAATTTGTTTTTCTAAACGGAAATGATCGCGTCCACACATTTCAATTTTTTTTATTTTAAATTTTAAAAAAAAAGATATTTAAAATACATTCAATACTCAATTAATATTATGAAATATACAATCATTTTATAATTATTTTTCAATGTATTTCGTTTCTTGCAAGGCTTTAATTCTTAACTTAATGTGTTTATCGACTCTACGCTGGCGAGAAACCCTCCCTTTCTAGTTTTTGTTACGGGTAATTAAAAAACACGTACGCATGATTTTAGCCTCTTCGAAACTTCAACCTTCAATAATTTTTTTAATAACATTAATGTTAATGTTTATGTTAAATGTTATAACTCACTGGTGAAAATATTAGTTTTATTATTATTTTGCTCAGAATTGCTTTTCTTGAGGTACGAATGAACATGCGAGAGTTCTCATGTATACGCTAGTTTCACTGTATTTGAGTAAAATCTCATAGTGTTGAAATGTAATCACTTGATATATTTCTGATTAATTTTATAACCATCTCTAACTTCTAGTTAATAAAATTAATATAATCACACAAAGGCTGAGAAAGAGTTCTTTTTCTATCAATCACCCCCTCCCTCGTTTTCACTCCTATCACAAATGAGAAACCCTTTCCACTAATTGCGGGTGTATTTTCATTGAATTACCTTTTTATTACATATTATTGTATTAAATTTTTGAAAGTGGTCAGGTGGAAGAGCACGTGAAATGGACAGAGCTTTGCCCACAATAAAGACTGGCGTTTTATTTACTACTAGTGGAACCTGCAATGCTTCACTATTACAGTGTGTTACACATCACACACTACTGTTCACGTGGTTGTCGGGTTACGCTATGATGAGCAAAACTTCTAATAGATGGAAGAATGTCGCAAGTATGGGTGTGTTCTAAATCCTGGTTTGGACATGGTTGTCAAGTATCCTGTTGTTAATACGTTCACCTTCTAAATTGAGCGTGCATTCGCTATGACAATATCTTGGAGAATCTGATTTACTTGTCTGAGATTCGAGTAATAATTCTGATCGATATTTCACATTCGCTTGTATGCACGACGCAAAATACTTGTACGCAAAACGAGCTTAATCATTCATGAGCGGCGTGTTGCGTAGAGTTTAGGGGCGTATGAATCGTTATAAACGAATCAACACCCCTCCCGCACATGACCGATTTAATTCAAAACATTCTTTAAATACTCCCATTACTAATTAGAACAAAGTGTGAACATTTCAGCGAAATCAGTCGAGTAATTATGCGACACACACACACACAATCCCACAATCTCGCGCACACTCACACACATACCAACGCATACCAACCGAATATTAAAGTGGCGTGATTGAAGTTTTTTTAAAAATATTTTTCCTGTTTGTCTTTGATCACTTCTGCAATTTTTTTGTTCCAGATTCTTAAACCTTTTTTGCTTCTGATCTTTTTCTTTATACCAAGTACTGCTTTCTTTATATTAATCTTTATATTTTCCCACTCTGTCATGGAGTCATCGTCTATTGGAACGTCCATTAAATATTGTCGTAGTCTTTTCTGGTACAAGCTCCTTATCCTCTCTTCTTGCAGAAGATGCATTTTGAATACTTTTTCTAGGGATTGTGCTTGCTTTCTTTCTTGTTGATGTTTTCCCTCTTTTGCAAAGTGCAAATTTTGCTATCTCCATGTAATGGTAAGATCGCATCCTAGGTAAGCTTGTACATCCTTCAGCTGTGCCCGTATTTTATTATTTATTAATATGTAATTATTAATCTGAATCCTCGAAGGCTCCACGTGTATTTATTTATGTCTCTTTTCCTAAAGCAAGTATTTGTAATTTTAAAATTGTTGGTAGAAGCAAATGATCTTAGCTCTTTACCATTTTCGTTCACGTGTTTGCCCTGATTTCCGACAATTCCTGGTGTACGTATAATACCTACTATAGTATTGCGTTTGTAGCTGGTTGTATAATATTTCTGTTTCTGCCTTCTTTCCCTCGTCAGGGGCATATACCCCTATCACCGTCAGATGAGTTCTACTTACTTTCATTCTTACTGTCATTCTTTCATTCACATATCTATAATTCTCGATTTCAGTCTTGTGAATCAATAAGGCCACCCTGTCTTTGCCCTTACATCCTCTGACACACCACTATATATCATGTATCTAATTCTTTTGTTCCTTTCAGTAATAATAATAATAATAATAATAATAATAATAATAATAATAATAATAATAATTTATCTATACAACTTTTCCAAAAAGTAGAAAAAGGTACGCATTCTCGAGTAACGTTTCAAACTAATTTATACCTTTTTCTAGAATATTTTCCCATTGTATCTTCATTATGGCCTGTTTGTCCATTATTACCTACTTTTACTGAAACAAATTATTTTTGCTTAGAAAACCTTGCTATTCCTCCTTAATTATCTAAATGTTCGAAGGTACAGATGTACGCTGTTATACACTTTGTTGTAAAGTTCTACATTAACTTTTAAATCCAAGACTGTTTTATCCTTCCCTTGTCTTATCTACCTCATTGTGCGTGCCATCATTTTAAATAAGAGAAAACGTGACAATAAGTTGTGAAAAAAATCCTTTATCGATTTTCACCGCTTTCAGTTCTTCATTCTGCGTGTTTATATTATTTTTATCTATCAGATATTACGTTTCATACCTTCACTCCATTTCTATTCATCAATGTACTGAATCACTACATTCATCTTTCCTTTCGGTGATCTTTACCTTGCATTTTTTTTCTTTCTTTCCGTTTTTGAAGTGAAATATTCCGTGAACAACATTCGGAAAACCCGTTTTTCTCAACACTCGCAGAAGACAGCCCTCCCGCGCAGAGCGAAGATTCGGGAGTTTTACTGGCACATCTTCCGAATCCAAGGCGGGTTACGTGCCATCCGCTTTAACTCCCCGCCGCGCCGCCGTCCGCGTGCAGTCGATTCACATCCCGGCAAGTCCCTCTCCTCGGGCGAAGGCGGGCGCGCCGGGAGGGGGCGGGGAGCAGGGGAGAGGAGAGGAGAGCAGGAGGCGTGGAAATCCGAGCGGGGCCGCGGGGCGGGGCGGAGCGGGCCGGGCCGGGCCGGGGCGGCGCGTGGAGCCGCGCGGCAGGTGCGTGACGGGCGGGCAGTGCGTGGGCGCGGGCCAGCGCAGCCAGCGGCCGCGCAGGCGCACGCGTGATGCGCCCGCCGATTGTCCCTCGCAAAGGGAGAACGGGGGCGGATCTCGCATTCGACTCTCTCTCCGCTGGGAGAATCTTTGGCCGCCTCGCACAAGCCTCGAGGCACTCGCTGCTTTTCCAGGGAGATCTACGGAACGGCTCAAATGTTCTGAATAAATAACAAGACAAGTCTCTGGTTAAAAAAAGTCCTACATTTTTAATGTCCCTTTGAAGTTGATGTCAATCAAAATTATCTGTAATTCGCATCAAACAGTTTTATTTCTTAACAATTTGGAGAGTTGTTAATGCATTAGGTTCTCTTTATGCTAAATATCTTTTCTATTTAAAAAATTGTTCATTTTTCTCGAAATGGGTCTTATTACGTGGGTTTATGTTGTCGGAACACGCTCTCAAAACTGCAATGACTCCTCTAAACAAATCGTTGGGTCACCATAGACAGGCTCCCTGAATCGAAGTCCTATACTGTAATGACGATTTTGGTGGCGCCATTGAGGGAGTTTCGATCGGTACCACAGGAGCTTACGGAGAACACGAGCGCAATAGCAAAATGTGTTGATCTGACATTTTCTCTGATATTTGGAAAACGAATACCCAATACAAGTCTCTTAACTTTATGGCATACTCTCTTGAAAGGAATATATTTTCTGAAATGACAAATGCGAATACATTGTTATTTCACAAATACATCATGGTTTTCAGAAAGTCGAGCTACGAAAATTCATTTTCGAATAATGATTTCCATTATCAAAACTTAGTTTTCGAATAAAGGTTCCCAGTATACTACGGAAAAGAAAAGCGAATAACATTTTTCGGACATGTTCCACTGGTGTTCGGAGCTAAACCAAATGAATATGCTAAATGTGATTAAATGGCATTCTAATGATAATATGACCATGTTTCTAAGCTAAAACACATTGCAATTATGGGTCTGAAACAAAATTAACCTCGTCAAAACAGCACCATTAAAGCACATACAATAAAAAATATTGCTACACAAAAGGCCCCAGACTCGCCTGTGCAAAGAACACAAATAATATGAACCCGTAAGGAAGACCGACGAGTTTTTTTGAACGGAAGTCGCTTGTTTATTCCATCCTGAGAAGTACTCGGGCAACAAATCGTAAATTCACAGAAATATTTTAATCGTACATTAGTTAGATCACATTAAAACCCCACATCAAGCGTAATGTTGCAAACAGACGGTATGAATAATGTAAACTACACCAAGTCGGCGAGTTTTCGTGATCGTGGAAACAATTAAGAACCAATTCAAATACCAGTAAGTGCTACACAATCCCATCAGTGATCTTAACATTAGTTTTACTTAGTATGTCGATATCAAATAACCAATCCCTTGACAACTATATCCCAAACTTAAATCAAAACTTTGAACACGCAGGAAGAGAAAACTATTTAGCCTTCACAATTGGAGATGTGAACTAATTGAAAAATGCACATAGTTATGTTAACGAATTTAGTTTCCACCATGCAAAACACACAACTGTGATGGGAAATATTTAATATTGTATATCTGTCGACAGATTTTCGGTTCACACAAGATTTCCTTTCATTAGAAAAATGTATTAGACACTAAACCCATTAAAGAAATACTTTTTTGGTCTTTTAGCTTAGCCGAAGAATTTTATTGCGCACCCCAAACGCATTGTTCGACGACCACAAGTGAACTTGTCAAAGTCACTGGCGTGTATGATGAGCGGGACACCTGACGCGAGTTTCTTTTTTGGGACGCGGAGAACATGCGTAGCCAAAGGAAGGGATTAGTATCTGAAAAAAATGAGGGCACATTCCATCCCTCTTTATGTCTTGACGCCATGGTGTTCTCGAAGACAGCGCATGCATAATGCACGCGCACCTTACGACAGCCGCTCCCAGCGCGGAATGACTCACCATGCAATGCACGTGTGGGGCACAACGCACATCACGTCACCGTTTTGGAACAATAACATTGTGTCCTGGACCACTCGTTTACTAAACTGATGCGACAGTGCTAGTTTTGTGTGTAGAAAAAACAATACCGGAGAAAAAGAACACACGAGTTTTTAACTTTTTTTCCAGCGCTACTTGGAACGATCGTTTAAATTTATATTTAATGGTTCAAGTTTCAGAATGTAACTGACGTTACAAACGTACCCGACAGAAATATGACAAAAAAAAGTTTAGTAAACAAATGTACAGAACTATCCCATAACCCTATTAATACAGTAGGCGTTGCTTTCTGACATTACAACCTGACATTGCACGATTAGTCCCTGTTGCTTCGAAAGCAATGCTGCCATGAAAAACATCTGAACAAAAACTCTTGCAAAGACACTGTCCTGACGTCGAGTTCTCACAATAAAAATGTTTTAAATGCCATTATTCAGTGATAATCTAGATATATGATATTGATTTATAATGTCGATGACTTACTTGAACCAAAGGAAAAGTCAAAGCAGTACAAAAATAACTAACCTTCAGAGAGTTCCAAATCCAACTCTGCCAATTTGTCCCGGACATCTTCCGGAAGTGTTGATATGTCGATGTTGAAGTCCGCCATTGTCAATCCATTCAATATCACACATATATTACACAGATCTTCATCACACACACTCAACAGCACTTCAGAACACAAGCCATCTTGAATTTACGTTAGCTACTCCAAATTGACGCTTGATGGCGCCACTATACGGTGGAAATATAAGTGACTCATGATATCGACCTCTCTCAGAATCGATTGAGAAGCGCAAAGAAATTGATGTAATAGTCCTTAATTTTCTAGTAATTGGAAGCCCTTGATTACCTTTAAATTATTTGCAGTTCTATTTATTGAGAGTTCATACTAGTTAATTCGATTTAAGAAACTCAAGTATATATTGTTTGGTTAGAGTACATGAATTCTAAGAAATATTTTGGCTGTAAAAAATTGGAAACAACATTTGTTTATATTTCAAAATCGTAATTCCTTTTTGGGAAATCGTTTACATGCTTCATTTAAGTCAACCAAAAAATTGCTTCAACTAAAATGTTTCAACCCACAATTTTTAAATCGAATAGGCAGCAATTCTGAAAATTGACAACCAAATAATATTTACGTATTTAGGTTGGGAATAATGTTGCAGGTTGGTATCCTTGCTATATGTTTATGCGTTTGTCAGATGTTAGGTGTTTACTTCTGTATCATACCCGTTCTTTGACCTGTACTTTCAGAGCTTGTCAAAATAAAATCGATTTGCATTCAACATGGGTTGCATGTGTCGGTTCGAAGAATTTGCTATGGTTCACGGTGTATATGAACAGTAAATCTATCATAAAGACTTTGTTTGTCGATAAAAATTACATTTATTTAAAAAATAGATCTTAGGTGAGGTTCACGTTGCAAAAAATTTGTAACATTAAAAGGTTTTAAAATGTAAGTCACGTTAGTAACTTATTATTATATTTTTTATTTTATTTTTAGAAATGAGTCGTGCTTATGCCAAAAATAACCACCCTCCAGCACAAGTCATAAAGAAATGTATTTGAACAAGGTTTTCAATTCCCTGGTCAATCCAAATAGAGTTTTGGTGGACAAAGCAAGTTCTTGACAGATTTTCTTCTGTGTTCTCACACTTCCTCTTCCTTTCATTTCACCATTTCTCCTTCATCATTCACTTTCTCATTCTTTTCACAACTTTATGCTCATTAAATGATCAATTGTTGGCCTGATTGACCTTAGCTGTTGAAGGGCTTCTAAACCCGAATAATTTAAATGCCAAGTTGAACAAGGAGTTTTATTTTGTTAAATAAAATAATTTCAACTTATTCTGGAAGGCTGTATTAATTTCCCTTGAAGGTGAAGATATAATAAAAAATAAATGCGTATCGAAGTAAAACCCCAAAAGGTTCTGAGAACAAATAATACATTTTTAATAATATATCTGTCATTGAATCATAAAAATTTATTTTTATGTACCTCACAACTTTACTTTTTCTTCCCAAGAATACTTCAAATGTCCTCCTCCTTCCTGTAGAAATTTGGTTCTTTGTGAGACAGTGGTGTAATTTAGATAGCAATACAAAGTGTTTGAGTTGTAGGCATTGATGTGCATTGCAGTTTTGGTTGGTTTTTTGATTTTGTTTGGATAGTCCCGAACATAGGGAGTCTGTGATAATTTCATTTGAGCATTGCAATGCACACTCTTTTACATGAACTTTTGCAGTGTTAAATGATTTCAACCTCTACTGAATGGTCTTACAAAATTGCTCCCACATTAACTGCAGAAATATCAATACTGTAATTCAAAATATAACCATAAGTGGGATCTGAGAGAGAACAAAATAGTGTAAATAATTTATCAGTAATTGTGGTGGAACAATAAAAATTTCCTTTATGTTCCCCATACCTCAACTTTTTCTTCCCAAGAATACTTTGTGTTTTTTCTCCATCCAAGAGAAATTGGGATGCATGTGAGTTTGGCTGCTTTGAGCACCAAGTAGATTGTTTTGGTTTCATCTGAGCGTTGCTATGCACATTTTTAATGTGTATTTCATATGTTCAATAAAGAGGTCTTTATATTATTGCTTTTGTTTGTGTACCTTCCAAACTAAAAGAGGTTTAAACAGTTTTAACCTTACTGCAAAATATGATATTATCCTTTATATGACTTCTCTGGAAAGCTGGAGTTATTTTTCCCATCAATTTTTAAAAAATTTTCATTCGAAAGGAATCGAAGATTTTGTTGAATATTTCATGAAACAGATTTGTCACTTGTGAGAGACAATGTTGTTTCTCCTGCTTACAAGTCACACAGAAGCCACTTTGATAGAGAGAAAAATAGGGATACTTGCCCTCATTATTCAGATTTTATGTATTGTATTTTTCTGTATTTTTAGGCAATTGTATCACCGACATTATCTTTGAGAAAAAAAATTACAGTTGTAAATTTGATTATATCTTAAGCATAAACTTAAAAAAAATAATAAATGAGACGTCCGATACACATGCAGTGGAGTGTTGAAGGGTCTGTGAAAAATATTTTAATTACACAAAAGTTCATATATTCAAGCTCTTACATTTAAGAGAGAGTTGAGAAAAAGATAATAAAAAAATATTGGTTGAGAACATATTGATAAAAAATTATAAGTATTATGAATGGTTAAATTAATACACTGTTATTAAATACAGGCTGAAAATGCATGCACAAATTTACTAAAGTATGTACAGGTCAAAATATTAAGGCTGCTTTTTAATGACTATAGTGTTTTTTGTTTAATCAACTTGGGGTTCACTGGATTTCATATAAGTTAATACAATTCTGTACAAATACATAAATTAGCGTATCTTGTCAAACAACAATGGCTGCCATTGAAGTTGGGGAAAAGGGTTAAAACTTAAATTTGTCATTTTTAAATGCTATTATGTAACAATTCACAACTAACAAATCATTTGATTATAAAATTGTCAGGGAAGTAATGGATCTTTTGAAGTAGATAGACCAAGAAGTATTTAATACTGTTACCTTTTTACTTTCAGGTCATATTTAATTAATTTAATTGCATCATGTTTTATGCTAAAAAAACACAATACAGTCATGAATAGGGAGAGTTTTTTTAAGCCCTAAAAATCTTGAAATATGCTTTCAAAAATGTGCATTTATAACCTAAAAGTTCTGAAATATGCAATTAAAATTAACAAAATTCATTTCCTACATAAAGTTTTCTTAATAAAATTTAGGAGAAGCATGCTTGGAATGGAAAGTTATATTTTTGTGCAAACATAATATAACCTAGCTTACTTTGCAGGAGATAAAAATGAAATAAAATTGCACCTTAGTGAAGTACATTGTATGTCTTGTTTTATTTTTTCTCTATGGTTTTAAAAATTTATATCAAGAAATATTCTACGTTTGCACAAGTGTTTTATCATTTAAAGAAAAGAAGAAAAGAAAAACACAAATTGTGATAAGCTCTTAATCTACATAGCATCCAATTCTAATTAAATGTCAAGAAATTTTACTTAGCTATGCTCTGAAGCAATGAATAAAAATATGCAAAAATAAAAGAAAGTCCACTCCTTAGTAATGAATAAGAACTAAGTTCATTTTTTTCTTGCATTGTGTGAGAACGGTTGCTTCTCGGCTCCACAACTGCATCTTGGCAATCATGTTTTCTTCCCAAAAGAAATATTTTTTTTATCCAGCTGTGACCAGTGCATATTCAGTAGAGGCTAATTTTTTTTGCAAATTAGGTCTAAACCATCATGTACCCTCTAAGCAAAGAAATTTGTGTTCTTTTGTGTCTGCACTTTGGTATATTATTATAATCATCTACCAGTAGGCTAGGATTCTGAAGGAGTTTAGTAGTTGCTTATAGACCAAAGCATGGAGTCTGCCACACGAAAGGGAAATGACTTACGACTGACAGTCAGAACAAAATGGTAAGGTTTGATGAAGCCTGAAATGACACAGCTACACTTTTCAATTTATAATGAAGTTATTGCTGAAACCAGTTTTTCCTGAGAAGTGACCCATGTGAGACCCAGACTTAGTGAAAATGAAAAGGACAACAATGGTGATGGGCCATTCAACTGTTCTTAAATTGTTAAGCCGTTTGCAACTACACAGCACAATTACATTTTCTAAGATAATATTGGAAGTAACATAAAAGAGAAAAGAAGTGTATTAAAGGTTACATAAATAACAAAAGAAATTGTAATTGAGATTATAAGCAGTAATTTAGTGATAATTATATGTTATAAAAGATGATTGCTAGCTTTGTGTCAAATTGAAAGTAAAGATTTCCACATGATTAATGCTGTGCAAACCATCTGCAATTTCTGTGATTGATTGCATTATCACTAATTAAGAAACAATAAGCTACATAATTTATTATTCTTTATGCAGTATTTTCACAGTTGACATTTTAAATTGTTTAATAATTTATTTTCTTAAGATTGAAAAATTTAATATAACACTATATTTACAGTAAGATCTCCTTAAGATACCCCTCATATGTTTTATTTGTCTTAAATTGAATTTTCATACACATTACAATACAGGAGGAGTGAGTTATTACTGGGTCGTCAGCCTTGCAAACATAGTATGCTCATGATACTCCTGAACTTACACTATCCAGCTTGAATACATTTTTGTCTCTTAAAAGGAGGCACAACCATCTAAGGTGATCTCGAGGTTTCACAGTCAGTACTAAGTGTTAGGTGTGTAGCTCTTTTCATCATATGATTTTCTAATAGAATTTCACACCATGTCATAAACAATTGGCCCTTGAATTAACACATGAATAGTTCACAATATGTTTAAAATTTTTGTGCATATGCATATTTGGAATGCATATTCAGAAATGCTCAAACGACATTTTCTCAAGTAGGGCTCAAAATGTTTCTAAGAAAATTTGTATATGGAACATGTTTCACTCTTCTGCAATATCCTTAAAGATTCATTTCAATTCTACTATTAGGGTAAACAAAAAATTGATGAATGCATGAAAAATGTTGTTTTGGCACCGATGGATAGCAGCTGGGCACAAGGGCAGATTCAGCTGATAATTTCTGGGGAGGGGGTTGCATTATAGATTTTTTTTAAATAATAAACATTTTTGTTACTATATTGTACATTATTTATGTACTGTAGATATGATACTATACAATATTATTGTTTAAATAATCACATAATTCAAACATAATAATGTAAATCAATTTTTAAATAATAAAATTAATTAGTAAAATGTAGTCTGTGCCATTCTGTAGCACCTCTAGTTTTAACACCTACATCCTACTATGCTTTGATTTCAGCTTGGACTGCCAGCAGCGCCGCTTATGGATGTAAGACAATGCCTATTCGAATAAATCAATGTCTTCTTTCCTTTAAGATGTCACGAATATAGGCTCCACGCGATTGATTGATTGAGTAGTGACTCTGGTCAGGTCAACTGCTACGGTGATTACATGCCACAAGAGCAGTGCTAGTTTTTATTGTAGAAGGGGGCAGTGATTCTCCCCTCTGAATGATGAAATCCTGTGCCAAAATGAAATGAAGTTTCTCTCGAAACATGATCAAATATTACTACCTTCTGTCTCACTGCCCGAATCTGTTCTCTTCAGATCGTTACCTTGTAATATTTATTATTATTATTATTATTATTATTATTATTATTATTATTATTATTATTATTATTATTAATTTATTTTTTAATTTAAAAAAAACAACATCTGGCTTTCTCTTAATTCTGTATTACATGGAATAGCTTTTGTGAAATGTGTATTTTTGTAACCCGTGAAATTTAACAAGAATTAAATTGAAGGCAGTGCCTATAGGCCTACTTCATTATGATAAAATTCCTTGGTTAACACACTGCATAATAGAAAACCTTTAATAAAAAACTGTCAAATCCATAATTTTCCATCTTAGTTTTCAAAAAAATTCAAAACTTTTTCAATAGGAATTTGAAATAAGAAATTCTTTTTTCCATTTTACAATTCAGAAGTGAATTTTGCAGTATTTCTTAAGCTCACACTATTAATCTTATACGAAAAACACACAAATTAGATAGGAGAGATGGCCAGTATTAGCAATGCACAGATTCATTCCGAGCTTGAGCAAGTTATACAGAGAAGAATAGAAACAATTAGGTACAGTAAAATAAGAAGAATTTTTATTTCGAATGAACTACTACATTTAATAATTAACAAAACTTGTTTTGGATTCTAAGTGCTTGTAGAAGCAGAAACTCATAATTTATAAGTTAAATATTGTGCACTTTTTGCTTTTAGTTTAAAAGCTGTTATTAAAAGAGTAGTGAAATTACATGTTATGGCAAACCAACTTGTGAATTGCTGTATTTGGTAACTGTTCCCCAATGAACAACATTTATAATGTGACCACGTGTTGCTTTTCTTAAACAAGTAGCATCCTTAACTTATATCAGGATGGACAAATATAAAAGCTACACCAATACAATATAGACATTCAAATAGATTTCTCTCTTGCAATTATTTTGATATCAATGCCCCAAAAGAAAGTCATGATTCTTTACCTTTTAGGCATAGAAAAAATTAAATTGTTATTACCATGTCCTAAAACAGTCAGGTACCATCTAGGTTTGTTCATTTGTTTATGTAATTATCTTTTCTTTAATTCCATTGCGGTTCATTTAGCCTAATGATTGCTTTTCCGTTCCTCCATTCTAAGCACATTATTAAATTTCTTTCACATAATATTGTTTTAATGATTCATTGAATTATTTAATTCATTTCTTATAAATTTACTCAGACATCCTTTTCTTGTTTTTCCAATTAATATTCAATATTTTAGAAGAAAGTTTTATTAGCTCTAAAAATATATGAAAAAATATCACAAATTTTTAAAAATTGAATATTAATTGTTGAAAAAGAAAAAAGGATACCAGTATGATACTGATGACAAGAACCCAGACGTTCCGTTATTTGACATAAAATAGGCAGGCAAAAAGACGTTTAGTTTTTCTAAAATAGGCATGTAAATGGGCATTTATTCTGGCTAAAGTAGGGGTGCAAAAATGCATGTAAACAAATCAGAAAAATAAAATTTAAAAGGAATTATTACACAAAATTAATAATTAAAATGATTCACATATTCAAACTCTAAAATTCTTTTTTTTGTAATGTTACTTCCACATCTAAATCAATGAAGAGAGCAAGAATAAAAAAATCTTTACTGGTGTGATCTTACTTTGTTTTGAGTTCTAACTAAAGACTTCACTCAGGGGCTGTTTATGAATATGATTCATCCACTTAAGGGAACACTCAGTGTAAGAGACAACTATGAATTCGGCCCTTAGTCTTGCAAGCATGTTTCAAGCTTGATTGATACTGGGAAAAATAAAGCAAAAAATGATAAAAATGGCAAAAATAGGCAACAGATGCCAAAATAGGCAAACTGAAAATTTACTACAACAACTCCGGAGGTACAATTAAGTGATCCTCATTAAAAGTCACAAAATGATGATAATAATAAAAAGGCAATTTGCCAAACTTCTGGGGTCTACTGATGACAATCATACCATATATTATAAATTTGTGTAGTAAATTTCTTGCTTGATCTTAATTTCTCTCCCTTCTTCTCCTATAGTGACTAATGAAGAATGAAATTTGCTCTCCCCCAACAAGTAAACAACAGCCCAATTTTATAATAAAGAAAATTATATTTTAAATTTTTAAAATTATTTTAATATATCAAAATAGTTCAATTACAGTAAAAATATAAAAAGATTGACCAAATATCATTTGAAACATTTTTTTTACTGTATTTTCAAAAATGTTGTATAAATATTTTTGAATGCATCCAATTCTGAAAAAGAGATATTTTGGTAATCACATCATTTCACTAGAATGTTTAGAATTTTAAAGTTGAAAATGTATAAGAGAAATCTTCAATTATTCAAATTTCTATAGAGTGAAAGCATAAAAAATATTGATTTGCATTTTTGATATGATAATCTTTGAATACATTTTTTTGACTAGCAGCAAGAAGGGATAGAAGTAATTATCC